GGGTCTAACCATCTCAACAGCCGGAAATGACGGTCCGTTGATGTGCCGAGTGCGACCACCCATCTCGCCATCTTTGAGGGTTATCCGTAAGGTTCAGCGCGCCCAAAATCAAGGGCGCCCTGAGCTCCCTTAATTTCCGCTGCCTGGTCTAACCAGAGTACCGTAAAAACTCAGACTCGTCTTTGCGCCTAAGTCCCAAAACCGTAGATTTCAGGCGGCGCACTGCTTGTGGCCGCCTGACACCGGCCTGGACTGGACTCCCCCGAATAAAACACAGGCCTGTGAGAACAGGCCAAGGGGATGGTCTCACAGGCCCACCGGAGGTCCGCTACACGATCTTCGGCATGTGATGGATCGCCTAGATACAAGCACGCTTCCGCCAAAAAGCGGAACTCTATCAAAGAAAAGAAACCTGAGTAGTCTAGGATGCGGAGCAAGCTCCATGCTGAGTCCATGCGATGCAACCTAGGATATAAAATGTCACAAAACAACAATGTCATAGCTAACAGCCTAAGTTAAAGCAAAAACAACTAACTAGCATACATGTCCTAGGAAAGCAAAAGCAACTAACTAGCATACATGTCCTAGGAAAGCAGAAAGTAGTGACAACTAGATCCTAGAATGTTGGAGGCAGTAGCCTCAGTCTGGGAACAGCTGATTAGTGTATATGTCCTAAGAACAGCAAAAGCAGAACAACTAAATCATAGAAATGTCAGAGGCAGTAGCCTCAGTCTGAGAGCAACGAAGCAACAACAAGTCAATCATATGTCACATGAGAAGTGTGTCGCAAACCGAAGGGTGGGATGGTCTCTGAGGGTGGCGAATGCAGCCTAGGGGTCGAAAACTCCTAAGGGCATCCACACATAGATAACAGGGAGACACATGTCATCAGGCTCAATGAGGGTAGGGAACTAAGAGCGAACAGAACCAATAACCCTAACAAATAGACCATCAGGGCGGGTAATGCTCGACTAGGGTGACCGCTATGGAGGGTCGACCATGGGAATAAGGGAGCCTGGTATACTGGGCGCACCTAGATGAAGCATGCGGGGCTGCCTAACTAGGGAGTGAGGGCCGGCAGAGGGTAGAAAGATGATGGGTAAGGGAATCATGCCGGTGACTCATAAGGTGGGGAAGTCGGAGCTAGATCCGTAAGATGGGAAGCCAGGGCAACGTTATGGTCCCGATGCCTATGCGTATACCAAGGGAGAGCCCAACTCAGAGGAACCCGGCTAAAGGGAGACCATCATGCGACACAAGCAGGGTACTGTACAGGGTACAGTGATACGAGAGTGGCGACGTTTGAAGTAGGCAGAGCTGATCGTGATGAAGTCCATGAAGCTGCCGATGACGTCCACGATGAGAAGTCCGGAATGCCGTCGAGGAAGAGCAGCAGCGTTGATGAGCTGAAGTAGTAAAACTGATGTGGATGAAGTAGTGAGAAGTCAAAGACGTGGGAAGGTAAGTCAGAGTCAATCGTCGTATCGAGCAGGACGACGACGAGTGCGTTGTGGACGCTCAGAAGCATCCGGCTGCTGCTGAAGGTCTGCCTCAGATGGAGCAGGCTCGACTTCAGCGGTCTCCTCAGCCGGAGGAGAAGGAGGAGGGTTAGTGGGCTGAGGAGGAGCAGTGAACCTAGCACGACGAGCACGGTCATAGGCACGCACAAACATACGAGCGTGCTGCAAGTGCTCGAGGGGCTCCCTGGTAGCCTCCTCATCAGGGTAACCCTTCCAACGTACGAGATACTCNGTGCTCGAGGGGCTCCCTGGTAGCCTCCTCATCAGGGTAACCCTTCCAACGTACGAGATACTCGACGTGGGGAGGGTTGTCGTCGGTGACTCGACAACCAATGATGTATGAAACGAGAAACTCCTTGTGACCATCCACCATGATGGGTGGAGGGCGCTCGTATGGTCGTCCAGCGAAACGCTCAGACGGTCTGCGGTAAGGACGCAGTAACGAGACGTGGTAGACATCGTGCACACGAGCCTGGCGTAGGTAGTCGGGCAGCTTCACACGGAAGCTGGCCGGGGTAGATGTAGTATCAAATACGACGGCCTGGAGGATGCGGCATGGGCCAAAGAAGCGACGCCGAAACTTGCGAAGCGTGTCCGCTTCGAGCTGTAAGTGGTGGACGTCGATAAGCACATCATCACCGACCTTGAATGGGTGATCCATCCTTGATCGGTTGGCACGTGCTGCCATGCAAGTCTGGGAAGCGGCTATGTGCTCATGTGCGGTCTTCATGATCGACGTCATGTGTGCAACCCAATCGTCCAGCGCGAGACAACTCGTGTGGGGGTGCAGCTGGGACCGTCGAAGGAAGTCCGAGGGAACACGAGGGTGATAGCCGAGGTCGCAATAATAAGGCGACATCCCCGTGGTTGGCGAGACGGCGTGGTTGTAGGCTATCTCCGCGTGGGCAAGATGAAGATCCCACTGCTGGTCGTCACGAACAATCTTTCGAAGAATATCTCCGAGAGTCTTGTTCGTGATCTCGGTCTGACCATCAGTCTGAGGATGGTAAGACGAGGAGAAGCGGAGCTGAGTGCCGTATACCTCGTGGAGCCGTCGCCAGAATCGGCTGGTAAAGCGCGGGTGACGGTCAGATATGATGCTCAAAGGTAAGCCGTGGTCACACACGACTTGGTCAAACACGATGTCGACGACCTCACGTGCACTGATGGCATAGCGGCACGGAACAAAGCGTGCACACTTCGTGAAGCGGTCGACGACGACCAGGATAGCATCATGACCGCGAGGGGTCGGAGGACGAAGAGGACCGATAAAGTCCATCGAGATGGACTGCCAACGACCCTCAGGGATAGGAATAGGCTAGAGCAAACCATAAGGCAGGTGGTTCACGTTGTTCACCTCCTGACAGGTGGGGCACTCT